GTTTCTGGAGTTTTGCATTAGCCTTTCCTCTGGGAAACCCGAAGTCGGCCAGCTGGCAGTGTTTCTTGTTGGGGGAGCAACAAGGAAAAATGAATCGCCGAAGAGGGGTTAATAAGGTTTCGGGGTAAAGATGTTTTTTTTGTTTTTTGGTTTTTGTTTTGTGTGTTGGAGGGATGGAGTCGTTCTATGTACAAGGCGGAGTGCAGCGGTGTGCGCTCAGTCATGCACTCCCAACTGGGGGGAGTTAGGAGTGTTGGCTAGTAGAATTATAGGCGCCCCAGAGCTAATGTGGTGAGGCTGGCCACGGTCCGGCGGGGATCCCAGCTGGTGCACTGTTGATCTTAGTCACTGGCCACTTATTCGGGATTCCAGGAGGTATACGGCCTAGCGCGGAGTTTAACTGGGTTACAGGTGCCCACCAGCGCCGGCTTTAATGTTTTTTAGGTAGGGATTGGGGGTTCACATGTGTTTTGGTAGAGGCTGGTTCTCAAACGTCCTTGACCTAGGATCCACGCGCCCAGTTCCAGAGGGATAGAGAGCGGGGCAGCAGCGCTGGGAGTTTTTCTGTTTTTTGTGTGTGTTTTTGGAGCGGATGGGGGGTGACGGTCTCCCAGGCTGCCTCAGCCTCCCAAGTAGCTGGGAGTACAGGTGCCCGCCACGACGCCCAGCTAAATTTTTGTATTTTTAGTAGAGACAAGGTTTCACCGTGTTAGCCAGGATGATCTCGATCTCCTGACCTCGTGATCCGCCCACCTCAGCCTCCCAAAGTGCTGGGATTACAGGCGTGAGCCACCGTGCCTGGCCAATTTTTGTGTTTTTAGTAGAGACAGGGTTTCCGTCTCAAAAAAAAAAAAAATCACGTGTATCAAGAACAAATTTTGCAACTAGCTTAGTACAAGGAGGTATGCTCTTATTTCAAGGAGTGAGTTAATTAGGAAGTAAAATAAGAAAAACTGTTTTCCTGAGGCAAGGGAAGGGGAGGACTGTCTGTTCAGGTGCCAGCCTTTTCCCATTCACCCGTGAATAAAGGTCATGTTCATGTAATGGAACCCACACTATTTTTTTCCTGAACCTTTAGACTTCTTTGGGAAGAAATAAAATACCACCCATTTTATAGAAATAAAATTCTTCATTCTAAAGTTATTGTGCAACCATTTCTTTTTAAAGTTTTGTTCTTCTAAAGGGACGTTGATGTATCCATTTAAATATCACCTCAAACACCCCACAACTATATGTAATTGTTATTTGTCAATAATTTTTAAAGTGCCCTAAAGATTAAGATCAAGGACAAATTGATGCCTAAAGTTGCTCTTTTAAAAAAGGCTTTAAGGCCAGGCGCAGTGGCTAATGCCTGTAACCCCAGCACTTTGGGGAGGCCAAGGTGGGTGGATCACCTGAGTTTAGGAGTTGGAGAGCAGCCTGGCCAACATTGTGAAACCCCGTCTCTACTAAAAATACAAAAATTAGCCGCGCGTGGTGGCAGGCACTTGTAATCCCAGCTACTTGGGAGGCTGAGGCAGGAGAATCACTTGAACCCAGGAGGCAGAGGTTGCCGTGGACTGAGATGGCGCCGTTGCACTCCAGCCTGGGTGGAAGAGCCAGACTCCATCTCAAAAATAAATAAATAGGAAGCCTGTAATTGAGAGCAGTTCACTAAAGTGCCAAATCACCTTGGTTTCTTAGAATTAGTGCTTTTCCTCGCCTGTGTGAATCTCTAGTTTTCTTACTTGCTAGTTGCTTTATTTTTATTTTCCAGTTACCACATGGAACTGATGAAAACTGGCTTCAAAAGCTGTATAATAATTTTGTCAACAAGAACCCTTTGTTTGAAAAGCCTAGAATGTCGAACACATCCTTTGTCATCCAGCACTTTGCTGATAAGGTACTGCGAAGGTCTCCAGCAATGCCGTCGACCCCAGAACCCACACAGCCTCCAGAAGGAGTAGGCAGGCCGGGAATGTTTCTGGTCAGATTCAAGTCACACTTAACATGTAGCTTTGATAAGTGTGTGTTTAACAGTTCCTGCTTTGTTTTTATGATGACATACATGAGTTTCAACTGTACTACTTTAAAGACGAATGTGTTGTTAAAAGACCTCACTTCTGATTTTGAATTTACTGTGAATTCATTAACCTCTTATCAGTTTATTTTCTGTATGAAATTGTGATCATCAAGACAGCATAATTCTTTCCTATGATCTTTTTCTGAAGTTCTATTTGATTAAACTGGACTATATTACAATGGCAACATAGGTTAATTCAAGATGTTGATGGGTTATCTTCGTGCTTTTTTTCATCTTTTGCGTCTTTTTTCTTCTTTATATGTCTCCTTTTTCTTTTTGCTAAACAGATGTTACTTGTCTGAAATGAAAAATTTTTGTTAAAATTGCATTATAGAAAGCTTAGAAAACAGAAGGAAAAAATTGCCATAACCACCTGTCCTAAATGTACATTCTTATTTGTTTTCCTTCCTTAAGGGAGCTCCTACCTCCTCCCATGTCCTGGTTGGGTGTTGCCTTGGTAGGCTAGCCCAGTGCCAGGGCTCACGGGAATGACTTGTGCTTGTCTGTGTTTATTGCAGCGGCTGGTGCTGTGAGTCAGAGCTGGTCAGTCCCGAGTGACTGATGGTGGAGGGAGGGGACAGCAACCTGGAAAGCTATGATCACCTTTGTGTGCTCGCAGAGGACCGTAAAATATTAAAATACAGGATTGGCCGGGTGCAGTGGCTCACACCTGTAATCCCAGCACTTTAGGAGGCTGAGGCGAGTGAATTGCTTGAGGCCAGAAATTCGAGACCAGTCTGGCCAACATGGCAAAACCCCGTCTCTACTAAAAAATACAAAAATTAGCCAGGCGTGGTGGCACACACCTGTAATCCGAGCTACTCAGGTGATTGAGGCAGGAAAATTGCTGGAACCTGGGAGGCGGAGGTTGCATTGAGCCGAGATCACGCCACTGCACTCTGGCCTGGCCGACAGAGTAAAAGACCCTGTCTAAAAAAAAAAAAAAAAAAAGTTAAGTTTTTAGTGCTTAGACTTTTTCAGATAGGCTCCTGAAAAGATGCCTATGAAATGAATGATCATATGTAAAATTATATTTTCTAGCTATTGTCATAATTTCAGGGTCTGGTCCCTGAACCAGAAAGGAAAGGCCAGACTCCATAAAAAGCACATATGGGATTTCTTTCAAGGGTCTGTCTTTATAGGATGTAGTTTCTGTACATGTAAATTCTCTCACCTGCCACTTCCAGGAAGTCTCCCTTCAAAAAACTAGGCAGCATTTGGGCTGGACTGTGGATTGATTGGTGGGAAGAACCCACACACGCTATGGGGTTAGATTAGGTTTTCGGTCTCATTGGCCAGGGAAATCAGGTCATATTGAATGCAAGGCAGCTGAGCTTAGATGTAGCAACTCAGCACATCTTCCCTTGGTCCCAGAGTCCCCAACAGAGGCACCAGCTGCCTGTGACACTGTCCCCACAGATGCTCGCCCGGACCAGGACAGCTCTATATTTGCCACCTTTGCCTGTCTGTCCTAGTGGCTCACACCACCATTCTGGAAGAATTTGTACAACAATCCAGGTACTTCATTCACAAAGAAGTGTTTACAAACAGCCGGTGTTCCTGGATCTTAACCTACCGGCAAGAGTACTTCCTTGCCTGGGGTACAAAGCAGAGGCCATGCCCAGGAACCCTCTGCCTCCAGATTCCAGCACTCTCCCCTGTTTCCTCATTGTCAATTTTTAACATTAATTTTAATATGTTTTTAATTTATGAAAAATATATTATCACATATTAAGATATGCAATCCAGAGGCATAAACTATAGGGAAGTTGAATGTTTAAGCAGCCACCCTGGATATGCCATGGTTTGAGGGATTCGAGAAGCCTTACTCATCAGAAAGGGCAGCATGGAGAATTTTTCTAAGCCAGATTCAAGCAGTGCAAACGTTTACCCACTCTAAACCTGACTCTGAGGGCTTGGCGGCTCTCGAAGGCCCGGTGGTCAGCTGATCGGTTTTTCTATCCTTTCTACCACATTAATGTTGATTTAGGAAACGATGTCTGTTTGAACCCAGTGAACACCACTAAGCTTTTTCCTCCTCCTGGTGGCTTCAAAGGCAAAGGGAGACCTAAGTCAGGTGTTCTTGTATGAACTGCACATACCGCAGGGGGCAACGGGACCCCTGTGGCCAGAGGGAGCTGACAGGTGAGTGCAGAGTGATCAGCAGGCAGGTGAGAGATCCAGGTGGTAGGACAGCAGACACATTCCCAGCTGATACATAGTGGGGCTGCTGCGGTTACACGCAGAAAACAGACCTCTTTTTGTAAGATCGCCTCTATAGCCTTTTTATTAATCTTTCTTTAAAAAGACATGAAACTTGTGCTTAGAGCCTATATTCTTTGGCCTCTTTGGGAATAATTAATTGCTTCCTCTGTATAGGTAGAGTATAAATGTGAAGGTTTCCTGGAGAAAAACAGAGACACCGTCTATGACATGCTGGTCGAAATCCTGAGAGCAAGCAAGGTCTGTAAAGTCCTAGTGGTAACTACAACTATTATATAATTGACATGGATCTAGATGTATATAAGGAAAGAGTAAGGGGAGAGAGAGAGCGTGTGTGTGTGTAAACTCTCTGGACAGCGGTAACTTGTAGCTCACAGTTACAAAAAGATAACTACTGTAAATCTACTATATGCAAAATCAGAAATCAAACATGCAGATGACGGGAAGGACAGCTAATAGAACCATTAAAGAATCACAATTCCAACCACATGTGGTGGCTCACGCCTGTAATCCCAACACTTTGGGAGGCGGAGGTGGGTGGATTGCTTGAGGCCAGAAGTTTGAGACCAGCCTAGCCAAAAAGGCGAGACCCCATCTCTTCTAAAAATATAAAAACATTAGCAGGGAGTGGTGACATGCCTGTAGTCCCAGGTACTTGGGAGGCTGAGGTTGGGAAGACTGCTTGGCCCTGAGAGGTAGAGGCCGCAGTGAGCCATGATTGCACCACTGCACTCTAGCCTGGGTAACAGAGCAAGACCCTGTCTCAAAACAAAACAAAATACGAAATTCACTCTGAGAGAAGGTAAGACATTTAAAGAAATAACTGATACAAAGCAGAAGGTAGTAAGTGCTTTAAAAGAGGTACAAATACAAGATGAAGACAGTTTAGAGAAGTCGGGATTCATTCATTCATTGTGAAGGGGGTGGGGCTGGAAAACATTTTTTTTTCTTTTTTTTCTTTTTTTTTTGAGACGGAGTCTCGCTCTGTTGCCCAGGCTGGAGTGCAGTGGCTGGATCTCGGCTCACTGCAAGCTCCACCTCCCGGGTTTACGCCATTCTCCTGCCTCAGCCTCCCGAGTAACTGGGACTACAGGCGCCCGCCACCATCCCCGGCTAGTTTTCTTGTATTTTTTAGTAGTGACGGGGTTTCACCGTGTTAGCCAGGATGGTCTCAATCTCCTGACCTCGTGATCTGCCCGTCTCGGCCTCCCAAAGTGCTGAGATTACAGGCTTGAGCCACCACGCCCGGCCATGGAAAACATTTTAAGAGATTCATGGGTAGGGTTTGGATTTGCAGGGATGAGAATGTGGAGTAGGAGGGAGGAGATTGCAGGTGGAGACACAGAGTGAGCCAGGCACGGAGGTGAGAATAGTAGATGTTTCCACTTTCTGACACTTAGAGTGATACCCACATACAGACATTGACACACTTTTCTTCTCTGTTCCCATTCCTGGGAAAGAAGCCATGGGCCATCCCTAGGGAAGACGATCCTCTTGTGGAATTGAGATTTGGCTGTAGACGTTGGTGAGGTTGTTCACTGCCCACTAGTTTAGCTGGGTTGTCACCATTTATGTGGCTTGTATGAGTGAGGACTGTGGACAGTTGCTTTTGGACATTGAGATCCTCTCTGTTCCTTCCAGTTTCATCTCTGTGCCAACTTTTTTCAAGAAAATCCAGCTCCTCTTTCTCCTTTTGGTTCAATGATTACAGTTAAATCTGCAAAGCAAGTCATCAAGCCGAACAGCAAGCATTTCCGGACCACGGTTGGGAGCAAGGTACTGAGAAGGTGTCTGAGAGTGAGGGTTCTAAAGGCAGGGCCAGGCCCTGGGGAGCCAGGGCACTCAGAGGACCCATATTCCAGGCCTGGACATGGATGGACGCTGGGGCTCTTCCAGTCTAACATGCACTCCACTGCAAAAAGTGCATCGTCGTCATACTTCCCCCTCCAAGGCAGCATGCACTGGAGCGAACCACACTTTTGCACAATAACATGGTTTATTCAGTTCTCTGCTGTCTGGGAGTATTAGTGTTCTGTCCAGAACGGTAGGACATGCTGATAAACCACAGTCATGGACTGAAACCTTTCATAAAAGGTGTTTACGCATGAGGTTAACTTTTCTTTCTATTGAGTAACTTAACAAGGTTGGGCTGCGTTTTACCGTGATGTAAGCAGTAAATTATTTCAGAGCCATGTTTGATCTCTAGCTTTGTTTCCTAGTTCCGCAGCTCTCTGTACTTGCTCATGGAGACCCTCAATGCGACAACGCCCCACTACGTTCGATGCATCAAGCCAAATGATGAGAAGTTACCCTTCGAGTAAGTTCTTATACAACTCACAGTGAAGATGCGGGGAGGCAGTTGCTGCCATAAAGTTGGAGAATTTGCTTCCAGTTGTCTTGAGATTTACCCTGTGTCTGGGTTTTTTTTTAGTGATTTAGAACAATGCTGCCCTTTACATAAAATGTTAGCTCAGCCCCTCTGGTTAAACCCCCTCATCTCCAGGGCTCAGTAAAAGGGCTAGATTTGAAAGAATCTTCTACAACTAAAGTTTTTGCAACTGAGCCAGAACCTGTTACTTGATTAAAAGGAGAATGAGTATGCGTGTTTGTAGAAGATCGTGGAAGGTCGGAAGATTTGTCCTCACACGTGATGGCATGAGGCATTATGCTTGTTCTCTGGGACCCCACGGAGGAGACCCAATGCCTGTGCATATAAGGTGTAACGAGTCCCTTGTAGCTTACTAGAGCTGAAAGAGGTGCCTAAAGGGGGATGAGCTACCTATGGAGGTGGTGAGTGTGTCCGTGGGTCACCAGATGGGTGAGACCGAAGCTGCAGAGCCACCTGTTGGGTGTTTTATGGAGGAAATTCAAGCATCAGTGGGTGCTTGGGCCAGGCGAGCTAGCACATTTCTTTCCACTTGGTTGTCGTTTGAAGCTCAACTCAAAGGCCGGTTCCCCCAAGGCCTTCTCCCTGCCACCTCCATCAGAGTCAGCTGCTCCTTTCTCTATATCCCACTGCACCTTTCTGGACTGTTTTGCAGAGGTGCTATTTTTCTTGGTCAGGCAATAGAAACGTACTAAGTATCTGCTGGGTACCTGGCCCAGGATCACAGTCTAGGCGGGTCTGCTGTGCCTGCTTATGGGCATGTTGAGCAGTTACGTTGGCTTAACACTTGATAATGTTGTCTTTTTTAAGGTTTGACTCCAAAAGAATTGTTCAGCAGCTGCGAGCCTGCGGTGTTTTAGAAACGATTCGCATTAGTGCACAGAGCTACCCTTCCAGGTTTGTTGTCCGTCCTTGTTTTGGGGGGAAAAGTAGCCAACTTCAGAGCTATGCTGAGAACCAAGGACATGGCTGCCATGATTTTTGTCACATACTTTTGGCTTCTGTAAAGTGCCCCCAAGATTTTCCCACTGCCCCGTGGAAGTCCAGAGGAGGGTGAGAAATAGGCTTTGTGGGGGACGGAGGCCGCCACCACCTCCTCACCCCATCACTGCATCTCGGCAGCTGGTGGCGACCCCACTGCCTCCCCGGTGTGCTGGGGAAGACGCTGACTGGGAGAAGGAGCACGATTGCCGGGGCAGACAGTTGTGCTCAGGGTGGTCTTGGTAGTGTCCCAGGCAGGCGGGGATCAAAGATCAGTGCCTTTATCCTCAGGACAGATTCCACCACCCCCGCCCTGTGACAACAGTGGCAGGTAAGGCAGTGGCATCCCCAGACACAACGCTCTTCCTCTGACACGCCTGGCTTTGGTCCCCTTTGATTGTCCAGGTGGACATACATCGAGTTCTACAGTCGCTACGGCATTCTCATGACCAAGCAAGAGCTTTCCTTCAGCGATAAAAAGGAGGTGTGCAAGGCGGTTTTACACAGACTCATTCAGGTCAGTTTCCCCACCTCCTGCGATCGTGGTCTTCCTGGAAGCACGTCTCCCAAACCTGCTGTTTTATCTTTGTCTCGGACGCTCAGGACTGTAATCATGAACGCCTGAGAGGAGACAAAATGTGCCCGGAGCATTTGTCTGCTGAGGAGACTGTAGCAGAGCATTCAGTGGGCCATGAGTCTCTGTTAGGGACCCACATCCGAACCCTGGCCTCCCCAGTATCCTTGTGTCCTGCTTTGCTCTCCCACGATCTAACCCAGTCCTCTGTGGACCAGGCTTATAGGATATGGTCAACTGGGGTTGTCGCCAAGCCACGTGGGCTCCAGGCATGGTGCCCAGTGTGGATTGACATCCACACTGCAGTGATGAGTTGTGATGGGAAGGAGATGGGAAGTTACAAGGTCCAGCAAAAGGGATGTTGAAGAGAACCCAAAATGAAGACAGAAAACCAAACTTCCCCAGTTTCTTCTACTCCGACGTAGAGACCACGAGTGAGTGGCTGAGGTTCTCCGGCAGCCGAACTGAGAATCGCCACAAATGACACCCCCCTTCTCACCCACAGAGGGATTCCTCAGCCTAAGTCCCATTTCTCCCTCCAGGGTGACTTGAAACAAACAACTCAAAGTATACATTTCTAGATGATGATGTGAGTTTTTCTGCCTTAAATGTCAAAATCACAATATTTCTGGCACCTTTGAATCCCTAAAGGTCTTTTCCAAATACTGTACTGTAGAAAATCTGAAAGATTTTAATTCTAACTGTATCATTTTTCTCTTCCAGGATTCTAATCAGTACCAGTTTGGTAAAACCAAAATTTTCTTCAGAGCAGGACAAGTGGCTTATTTAGAGAAACTTCGATTGGATAAACTGAGGCAGAGTTGTGTTGTGATACAAAAGCACATTCGTGGCTGGCTCCAGAGGAAAAAATTCCTCCGGGAGAGACGAGCCGCCCTGATAATCCAGCGGTACTTCCGGGGTCAGCAAACCGTGAGGTGTGTTGGAATCAAGGAACACATGTGGAACTGTGGGGCTTTCTGTGCTGATTATCTCCAGGGGGAGGACCCATCAAGGACAAGGGACCCTTCTCTTGTGACCCAGGGTGCAGACATGGAGGGGTCCCCTTGGTGGTCATGAGCACTGGGGCAAGAAGGGTTGATCTCTCAGGGGCAGTAGTGCTGGCTCTGCCTGGCATCTATGTGGTGAGCCGACACCCAGGGGCCTGCAGGGACGAAGCCCTGGTGAGAGTGTCACTAAGGAGAGTCAGGGTTCTAGCAGCTCAGGGAGAGGCCCGGGGCCCCTTTCCTGTGGGAACTGAAAATGCCTAAGGCCAGCAAGGCCCTAGTGAAGATCCAAAGGACAGATGTCAAGAATAGCCAGCGATCAGCCTGCCAGCAACAGGTGGGGTGCACCATGGCAGAGGGGGTCCCTGGCAAGGCGTGGCAGCAAACCAATCGCAGAACCCCTGAGCAGGAAGACCACAGCAGCCCCAGCCAAGCCAAGGGCTGAGGGGAGGGCCATCCACCAGCTTTACTGATCCCACCTGGCTTGAGGGGTCCTGAGGGTCCACACGACCCTGCCAGCCCACTGAAGGACCTCGGTCATTTCGGGACTTCCAGGGCTTTGGCGTACCTGCTGGAAAGCACGAGACCGGGGTGCCCCTAGATAAACTGTGTGTTTCTCTCTGCCTGCCCTGCCCCTTCCTTGGGATGCTGTGAGGATGCTTGAGAAGGCCGGTGTTTAGGGTCAGGCTGCCTCTGCAAGCCTGACTTCTTCCTGAGCTGGAGGATGACCAGTGGCAGCCTCTGGCCTTCTCTGCATGACCAGCGTGGTGTGGCATGGACACACGGCTGGGCTGGCTCGCCCTCCTGTGCTTCTGGGCCCAGTTGATAACAGCAGTCTCTGGGGAAGGAAACCATAGTTATCTTCCCTGCCAAGGCTATGCTCCCTTCCTATTTGGGGCTCACCAGGGCCTGATCATCCTGCCCTGCTGGCCTCTTGCCTGTCCCACTCATTCCATCCCACTCCTGCCCCCAGTTTAGCTCACAGCATCACCTACCTTGTACTCTGATGGCACCATGCTCCACCTCCCACCTCCTTCCCATCTTCCTACATCAGAGCCTGATTGAGCCACTGCCCTACACCTGCCTTTAAGGCCCCTGTTTCCTACAGAATAGCATTCAGTCTCCGACGTGATATTCAAAGCCCTCCATAGCGTGGGTGCATTCATAAGAATGGAAGCTCCATGAGGGCAGGGGCCACACTTGTCTGGTCATCCATACCTGGACCTAGCATGGTGGCTGTCATAGAAGGTGTTCAACAAATACGTTTTTAAAATAACAAATGGTGCCCATCTATTTCTCTAACCTCATCGACGTCTAATTTTCTTCATCCATCTTATTCTAGTGATTCCAAACAAACTCCTTTTCTGAATATTTCAGGCACTGCAGGGCCTCCATGCCTTTACTCATGCTGGTCCCTCATCCTGAAAGCCTTTTCCAGCCTTCACTGTGTACAGACATCCTACTCTATCATGGGCTGCTTCACATATCAGCTGTCCCCAAGCAGAATAACTGTTTTTTCCCCTCTCACTGACAGATCTAGTTAGTTGGTATTTTATTTTTCTTTTTTCTTGGCCATTTATTAGTCTTTCTGTACGTGAGGCTGTCAATTCTAAAGGCAAGAACATCATCTTCACCTCTAGTCATTTAGACAGGGGCAGCAAACTGTTTCTGTAAAGGACCAGATGATCATTATTTAAGGCGTTGGGGTCTTGCAGTCTTTCCTGCTGCTGAGGCATGAAAGCAGCCATGGGTGATACGTAAATAATAGATGTGGCTGTGTTCCAGTAAAGCTTGATAAGGACAGGTGGTAGCCATCGTTGGCCAGTCCTGATCTGGAGCCTGCAGCACGATTTCTCACATGAATGAATGAGTACATGAATGAACAAGTGCAGCACCAGTGCACGGTCTCGTCATGGTCTCTGTGGGTACCTGAGTGGAGGCGAATTGATTGGCCTGAATGGGAAGCGTGTGAAAGTTCCCATGTGGTTCTTCAAGGAGAGGGAACTGGGGACTGGCCTCAAGTAGTCATTAGAATAAAAAACCGCTCACAGAATTTAATATGGAGAGGTGCAAAATATTTGAACCTTCCTTACTAAACACATGCTAGCCAAGCTTGCAGCTGTGTGATGGAAGTTGATGCTCTGTGGATAACAGACTCACTCTTCATCCTTGTTAATCAAGGAAAGCTATTACTGCAGTGGCCTTAAAAGAAGCCTGGGCAGCCATAATCATTCAGAAGCACTGCCGTGGGTATCTTGTTCGCAACCTGTATCAGCTGATTCGCGTGGCCACCATCACCATCCAGGCCTACACCCGAGGATTCCTGGCAAGGAGGAGGTATCGAAAGGTAAGGCCAACCTCTCTCTAGAGGAGGGGAGGGTGTACGGGCCTTCCTTACTGAGAACAAAACAGGGGCCAGGGAAAGACTCCACTGTGGGCAACCTCACTTTGTACAAAGTGTCAGCCAAGCCAGAAAGGAGATTCTCCCAGGTGCTGTGGCTCAGGCCTGTAGTCCCAACTGGACATCAGGGAGCTGAAATGGGAGGATTCCTTGAGCCCAGGAGTTCGAGGCTACAGTGAGCTATGATCATGCCAGTACACTGTAGCCTGCATGGGCAACAGAGGGAGACCCAGTCTCTCTCTCTCTCTCTCACACACACACACACACACACACACACCAGTTGCACTGTTGGTTTCTCTTTCTCCCAATTGGCCCCAAAGAGACCACACCAAAGGAAAGTACATTTTAAGCCAATAATGTGCACCTAACAGACCTCACCTAAAGCAGAGACTGGGTGGGGAAAGAAACTTTAAAAGATCAGCACACTGGCCGGGCGTGGTGGCTCATGCCTGTAAATCCGATGCGGTTGGCAGAAACCTGAGGTCAGGGACTTGAGAACCAAGCCTGACCAACATTGTGAATCCCATCTCTACTAAAAAATTATAAATTAGCCAGGTGTGGTGGTTCGTGCTGTGCAGATCCAGCTACTCGGGGAGGCTGAGGCAGGAGAATCACTTGAACCTGGGGAGGTGAAGTTGCTGGTGAGCCAAAGATCACGCCAGCTGCACTCCAGCCGGGGCAACAAGAGGCAAAACTCTGTCTCAAAAAAACAAAAGAAATTGTCAGCTGGGGCGTGGTGGCTCAAGCCTGTAATCCCAGCACTTTGGGAGCCTGAGGCGGGCAGTCACGAGGTCAGGAGATCGAGCACATCCTGGCTAACACGTGAAACCCTGTCTTTACTAAAAATACAAAAAATTAGGCGCCGA